CTCCAGTGCTGAAGGTGTGAAGCCCTGAAAAGGCAAGAAGCCAAGCTCGCAGGTTTTGACTGTTGATACCTCCGATGAGCAATCGGGCCCCTCCCTCCCTCTGCTAATCTTGAAAGGCGGGAACCAGGTCAGACACAAAAAAACTCTGCGCAGGCCCAAGGAGACGCTGAGGCTCGAGGCACGGCCCGTGACACTGACCATGGATATAATAACTCGTAACTTCTTGGAGTGTGGGGGCTTCCCTCCTTCACCCCCAGCAGATCAAGGCCACCACTTCAACTGACAGACATGGAAGCAGCAACTATCAAGTGTCATCGCTGGACCCCGTGGGCGGTGACTGTATACATCTGTCCACTCTCAGCTTTTCTCTCCCTTACTCTCCCTTACTCTTATCCTGCCTTTCTCTCCCCTATGCATTTTCTCCCCCCCCCAAAGGTTATCTCTATGTCACATTGTTATATGACAACACCCAAAATGCTAGCATACCTGTTGATACAGAATTGTTAAAATAAACCTTGCCAGTATATGTTTTCAGACACCGATTATTCAGTGCCGTTTCACTCTAATCCACCTCAAGGGAATTATTGATAAAAACCTGGGTTACACCCCCCTCCCCTTTTCCTGAGACGGGTCGTAACAACAGATCCTAAGCAACCTAACTTAACTTTGAAAAGGAGCTAGCAGGAGGCAAGAAGACTTTATGATAAACATCAGCATAAGGATTATGTTTCCTCCTTGTTTTTACTAAAGTGGTCATGAATAGAGACTAGGAAGCAAGAACAAGAAAATATGAAGGCAGAGGCCTACACTAAATAAATGAGATAGTTTCATGGCATGAATAAAAGAGAATTGGCTGAAAATTGACTACATTTTAGCAAAGACTGACATAGGTGTATAATTGAGGAGACCTATAGCGGGTGTGCATGTGCCATGCTCCCCTTGGTGGAGCAAGTAGGTCTAAAGAGAAAGCTTTTTTCCAGTCAATTGTTTTGATTGTGGTGCTTTGTTCTGGTTTTGCGGTGTTTTGGAGGGTTTTTTTGTTTGGTTGTTTTTTTCCCAATAAATTTCCTGCTAGATATGCCTGAATTGGTAGCTATGAGATGACCTCCCTTGATCCACAGCAGGAAATCAAGCACATATTTATTGCACAACATGACATTCATTGCAAAGCTAATAGAAATAACAAAAAAGCTCCTTCTTCCAGTACAACTAGATACTAACCACTGTAGCCTCCTAAGCTGCAAACACCCAGCAGACTGGGATTTAGGACCATTTCTAACTAGTTTCATCTGAAAAGATCAGTCCTGATTTACCCAACCCACACACCACACAGGTTCCTCGGGACTGGATAAGAGACAAATGGATATTTTGCTTGTGTGGAATTCCAAGACAAACAAAAAACGAAGGAGGAAAAAAAAAGAGCAGAAGAGCTAGAAATGTTAGGAAGGTCTTTCAAATCCTCCCCATTTCCAATCAGAGATATTGAAAAAGGAAATGCTTCCTTTAAAAAGCTCAAAACTGCAACAGAAAATAAATCAGTGAAAGTAAGATCAAATTAAAGCTCTTCCTCTGGACAGGGAAAGTTGATTGCTGTAGGATACTCAGACAATTGCTCAGAACTGAAGCTGCTCTTACTGTTTAATTTCTGTTTTCTTTCATTTTGCTTTTGTAATGTTTCTTCAGATTGGCGTAGCAGCAAGCTACCTCCCAAGGAGCTAGATAAACAGTCAAATAACTGTCAATGTTTTACTTTTGATTGAACGTCTTGCTTGAGGCATATTTTCAGGCTTTGGATGAAAGCATGGGAAATTGCTATTGTAAGTGTTAGAGTTTTAAAAGTAGTGTAGTGGTGAAGATACTTTGCTACAGTACATATTGTGGAACATTTCGAAGCAACATGGTAGAACACTATCCTGCCATTATATATGAGAATAACAAGACTCCCATAGACCCCACTTTTAAGGATTTCTATAATAGCAGACCTAGAAAAGCAACAGTGATTTTGAATGATACTTGCAGTTTTCTGTATTATTTAAAAAATTTAGAGAGCAAAGAATTTTCAGTAAGATTGACAAAGGATTTTATATTTCTTTTGGCGATTGAAATTGTAAATGTCATACAGTGCTCAGCACTTTGTGACACTGGCCCGTATTAGTTCCAAAACAGGAGCTAGTAATGTCACACTGTAGTTGTCCATGTTGAAAAAGGCAGAGGCTTCATCTGGGCAAACACCTCATCTGTTTCCTGTGCTATATGCACATTCCAAAGTCTTCAGCTTGACTGATCAGGACTTAATAATCAACATACTTGTACTGGGTATTTTCAGTCTTTTCTAGGTATTGTGTTCCTGAACAGGAAGATAAAATTCCCTACAAGTAAGATGTTTTCTTTGGAACAGAGAAGAGGACCTCTGATGGTACTTATATACATCCTACTTTCATTAGAACACTTGCCAGCAAGCTGTCTCAAACGAGAATGCTGAAGTCTTTGCCAAAGGCACATTATACCTTAACCACAGTTCTTAGCCATCGCTTGGTTGGATAAGACCATTTCTCAGGAACTTATCAAACATGCAGATAAATATTTACTTGGTCATTTGCTCTTCCACTGCCTTATTTCCTAAGGATGCTGAGAAAAACTCAAAACAACCAACAGTGTGTCCTGGCTTAGCTATATTTGGTTGAACACAAATGCAATAATTCCACCCAGCTATCTTCAATCAAGTAAAAAGTCTTACCTTTTTGGCGTTACATCTTCATTAGTGCTCAAATGTGCTGTTTCTAATGTATCTCCATTTCTTCTGTAAATGGAAAAGTCTTCCTTGCTGGCAGAAAAACAATGTTCTTTTCCAATCAAATCCATCCTTTCCCGTAAACAAGCCCCAGATAAACCAGTCCTTCGCCCTGGATGGAGAGAGGCAGCAGAACCAGGGTGTACAATTCCTTCCCCTCAGATGCTTCGAACCCACTGCAGAGTAGACTGCTGCAGGGAGGTGAGGGAGATGAGAAGTTCAGTGTTAAATTAGTGGACACCCCACAAGTGGAAGCAACCACAACAGACCAAAGACTTGATGTCACCCCGCAAACTCCTTTGAGGTCTTTTTCTTCACTTCTCCCTGGACCACCTTGGACAACCCCAGACCCCAAACAACATTTAGTGACGGGCCTGTAAATTATTTATTCAGAATTTTTTTGGCTCCTCCTCATCCACAAGAGATTTATTTATGCTACATACATCTTTTGATCCCAATTTCCCACTTCTCACACTCTCCTCCCTTGAATTTCTCCTGGTGACCGTTGTCCCAGCAGGCCACACACATGAGACCCCCTCCCTCACCTCCCCATCCCTCAGCTCCTTGCCCAATGCCCCAACCCAAGCCCTTTCCCAAGCACCACTGGGATGGCTGTGCAAGCCAGAGGACAAACTACAGCTACCACCTTGTATGCACACTGTTGCTTACAATCCACTGCCACGAATTTAATGGAGGTCCACCAGGATGTGGCACCTGTGCCCCTCCAAACCCTTGATGGCCCTTTCTTGAAGGCCAGTGGCCTCTCTCAGCTCACAGTCCAGCACGAAATAAAAACTGGTCAAAAGGGAGGCTTTGCTCTTCATCTTCCTCCCCTCCTCTTTATTTCAAGTTGACCCCACACTGTCCCAGCACTAAAAGCCTCTAGAAGGGCTGTAGTCATGTTATATGCCTTCTTAGTGCCCTTTTATAAGCAGGAAGATGAGTCTTCATTAGAGTAAAATAAAAACTTTAGGGTATTTCTTAGAAAAAAAGGCTTCTTTGCTAAGTGGGCCAAGCATTATTTGCATTTTGTTTCAGTGTTAAGTTCTTCAACTGAGTGGGGACTCGGTTTACTCTCAGCTAGAGTATCAGAAAGGTATGACACAGGAGAAGAGATATTTTCACTGAGCGCAGTAATGCTGCAATCAACTATTTCATAAAAATGAAACACTCAGTGGAAGCCATTGACTGAGAACTTGAAAAAAAATTGTGAATTGTTCCAATGAATGACTGAATACAATCTTGTGTACAATGAATAGCTAAAAAAAAAAAAAATCATAGTTAAAAAAATTTTGCTGGGGCTAGAAAAAATGACATCAGCAAAAAAATCACTACATATCGCAGTAAATTAGAACCATCTTATGACAGCTGGAATACTGGAATTTTGAATAGAGATGAGCAAAAAACCCTGCATCTTCCTAGTGTGGAAAGTGAGAAGTGTTACACAGGAAGACACAATTAAAAACAAAATCAAGTCAGGCTGACTAAAAGAATTCAGATCTTGTTTTTCTGATGTATTATTGGCTGTATCTATGCATTATGAAAAACACGGTGTGACCAAACTCAGACTGACCAAGCTCTCTTTGATCTAACTACAGAAAAAGAAAGCAAACACAGTTTACTGTGCTGTCGTTTGCTGGATCTCATCAGTTCTTATCGGATGAAGGGTGCTACTTAACGGTTTGCACATCTTTTCCAGTCATTAAGTGTTGGCCAAAAACTGGTTTGTCAGGAGGTTTTTTCCCAACACCCCCCCCCCCCCCCCCCCCCCCCGCCAATCCCCTCTTAAACCATTCAACTATCCAGAGCAGCACTTGGAGCACTCCAAATCCCTCAGAGCCCACTCTGGATTTTGGTTCTTTCCATAACAAAGCAAGAGAAGCTTGCAGCTTTGAATTTATGGCAAGTTTTTGCTTTTCATACAGAATGATTTGTTACCTCCTTGCTCTGTGTAGAATAATAGGTTTGGCCTCATTAAAGCCAGAGTATGCCTGCAGGTAACAGTGTTCACAGTCCCATCAGCCAGAAGAAATGAAATTCTGCATACTCTATTACTCAGTTTAGTTCGTCTGTTTGTTACAAGAGAAGGCAAATCCAGTGATCACCTGGGGCAGATTTTCTGTATCCTCTAAATGGGGCAGATTTTCTGTGTTCTCTAAATGTTCTTTGCTCATCCAATACACGTATTGCACTATACAAAAAACCCACATTAGTTACTAAATGGCAAGATTTATTTTGAGAATGCAATTAGTATGTAATACCTTGGAAAATGAACAGCTATTGTAAATACAGAATAAAGGCTGAAGCACCGTAGCTCTTCTGTTCCTGCATTTGTTTTACACACAGCACTAAACTGCATAACTTCCAAAAAAAGGTGCTATAACTAATTTAGAAAGACAATGCCTCAACAAATTAGCATTTCAGGTTGACATATACGTGCATTCATCATCACAAGAATTCAAAACAGGGATCCAGATAGCCCCATAACATGAAGTTCTTCTGATCCCCTTCAGCTGGGCTTTGAACTATAAGCAATACCTGTTTTGCCATACTGCCCTATACTCTGCTATTCTGCCTCAGCTGCTAAGGCAGGCCACTAATTTTCTCTAATCAGCTGTGTGAGTGTTCATAAGCCTTGTCAGCCTGTTTACAACAGTGGACACCACTACAATAGGAAATGAGCATATTGATTTCACTCAGATCGCTGGGCAGCTGCCAGTTACCAACAGATCTCAGCTGAGTTTGAAAACAGCAATTGCAAAATGACTTTTTTCCTCCTGCTGCCCTCCTCATACTTGCTTCTGATCAATACATCATTCTGATTCACAAACACATCTTCCTCAGGAGGCTTTGAACCAACGAAGTACAAGTGCAAGCTCAAAGAAAATGCTGGCATTTATTTTTATGTTGCAAATTAATTCTACATATCCCCTCTCTCAGGATTCAAGGAAAAGTCAACTTTTTTTATTAAAAGGCCCTAAAAAAACTGAGGTAAAGTACAAGATTAGAAAGGTAGCTCCAGAAGAAATGACAGAGGATGAAATTCATTGCATATCACATCATAAAAAGCAAAGGGGAATTTGTTTAAACAAGACAGAGGTGAGCCTCATAGCAGCAAGAAATTTAATGCTAAGATCTATCACAACTAATGTCTGTTCCACGAATTTTTACACTCAACAGTTACAGTACAAATCAGTTCCATTTCACTGTAGCTGCTCCAAAATCAAAATGTATATACACATAGAATGAAATAGTCGAAAAGCTGTTTCTAATCTGACCAAGGCTCAACCAAGCAGAGGCAATTACCGATTTTTTTGAGATAAGCTTCATAAATTATCTTTCGGCTTTGTCACTTATCCTTTGAATTTCATATATACTAACATCATTTAAATATAGAGTGGGTTTTGCCCATCTGTACAATGAAATTTCTGTATAAGGCTCTAACATCTCATCTCCCATCTTGCAATGGGAATGAGCTGGGGGGCAGCAAAACCTACCACTCATGCTTAAGCTCCCTGGAACAGGCTGACTATAAGCATAGCTAGGATAATAATTTGTTCCCTCCTTCAACCACACATAATACAGTCTTTACTCAGCAAAGTTGTTTCACACCATGCCAAACGTCAGCTTTTGCTGTGTTAATAGCTGCTCTGGGAGGATCAGTGTTGTGCTATCCTACATTTTTTCCAGGGCCTGGAGATGCAATTTCCGACAATCTGCAGGCAATTTCCCACCGATTTTCTTGGGGGCCTAATAGGTTGTGACAGGAGATGGAGCTAGCAAGCAGCAGGTGGCTTCAGAAAAGACAAATTGCATCTCTGCCACCTAACTGGGCAATCTAAAAAGACAGAGTTTATAGCTTTGTAGTGTTATTGGGCCCCATGCTAACAGCAAACTGTTCAAGCTGCTATCTGAATTTCATATTCTTTTCCTTCTGAATTGCTATCACCACACATCACTTTGTTGCACTTTTTCTGCGAACGACAGTTAGACACAGATCATGTATGATTACTAGTTTAACTGCCTTTTAACTAGACAAGCCCTGCTAAATGCTATTCACACTCAGAAACATGCAGTCTCTCTGTCAAACACGAAATATTTTGATTATTTTCATACTTGTTAAGGTACAAAGCAGATGCCTATGGAAAGGGATTTATTTAAAAACTAAATTCAAATGAGTGAGACAGTGTAAAGTATGGGAACACTAAAAAAATCAACAGTGAGCACACTTATTGTGCTAAGAAAGTCCCACTGATTATATATAGTACAATATGAAAGCATTAAAAAAAGCTGAATACGACTGGTAAGTTCTCCCTCTACTCTGGCAGTTTTTGAAACTTAAAAAGTTAACCTGAGCAGTTAAAACAGTTCAAAACCACTCATGCTACCATTTACCTTGCAGATAGAAAATTATTTAAAGTAAGACTAGTAAAGCTGTAAGAATGTATCATCATATCCACTTTGAGAGAAATGAAACTGATTTAAAGCTGCTAACCCCCACCTAAGATACAAAAAAAAAATAAATTAATGAACTAAAGAAAGTGATTCAAAGGCACATAATACTAGCAACTATTGCAAGTTGTATCTGTCACTGTACTTCCCCTTACTGTTACAAATAACCCAGGGGATAAATACTGTAAACACATTCTATTACAAAACCCTGTATATCTGTAAGTTTTTCTTCAAAATATAGAAGAATAAGTTTCCAAAGGCATGGAGATTATTAAAAACAACCAACAATAGTAAGGAAATTATAATTAGCAAATTTGCAAGGTTAATATTTTTCTCCTCCCCCCACCCCCAAGAATAAATTAGGTAAAAACAATCCCATCTAAATTATTGCTGTCTGTTGGGAGACAAAATTAGTACTGAGATGTATAAAATTTTACTATAATTCAACCCTAAGGACTTTTTTTTTAATTACTTAAGTAATGAAAAAACGTAAAATTACATTGAACAAAGTGTTGAAATATTCTAACATGCATTTTGAAACTCTCACATTTAAACCACTTGTCATTAATATCCCCATTTTATATTTGTGGTTTTTAATAAGTTACAGCTTGATAAAATACTGAAGAACCAGTCAGAATTATAAATAAGAGTACCAGGTCAATAACTTGCACTCAACAAAGAAGTGTCTACATAAACAAATAAAAAAGCTATGAAAACCATTCAAAATCCAGAAGTATTTCCTTTTACACATTCACTGAAAAAAACATAAGAGAGTATCAGGATTTGAAAATCTTGAATGTGACAAATGAAAACTAATGATTTATCTATACGAGTTGATAAACTTCTTGAAGTACACATTCAAAAATTCAATTATATCATAGATTTGTGAATATTTACTCAACTGCTGTTAGAAATACACATCTCACATAATTAACAATTAGAAAGACAGAGAAAGGTAGAAGCATTATGTATGCATAACTTATTAAAACATCTCTAGAGGTCTAATATATATTTAGGAAGAAACACAGGGGAGCACGGTAGTAAACTGGTCCCTGCATGAAAAAGGAAACTTATTGCAGGAAGTAAATTTAATGTGGCCACAAAAGTTGAATCACTCCAAAGTTTTCTTGCATGCATGGCATGCTAAGCAAATACCAAATTGACATTTAGAACATTTACATATTTAACAGCAGTGTTTGGCTGATTCATCAACAATTAAAAATATTTCAAATTTGTAAAGCTGTCAGATTGTATATTTACTTGAAAACAAATTAAAAAAATAGTCAGGTCCAATTGCAAAAAAAACCCCAATAGCTGACTATTTTTTAAGAATAAAGGGAATCTTCACAGCTCTGCAAAATATCTTGCTACAGCAAACCACAAAATAAGAGTTACTAGCTTATCATAATTGCAGCCAATTTTTTAAATAATGGGGATTGCTGAAGGAAGTATGACAAAGACTGCGAAATGAACAGATGAATTTTATTTTAAACTAATTAGGCTCACTACCAGGAAAGTAACAAGTGATTTCTAAGTTTCCCACTGCTATAGGTTAACTTGCATTTATGACCCCTTCAGTCTGCTTATTAACTCCTTTAAACTGCCATTAAAATCAGTGCTTGAAGGAAAAACAACATTTATTGTTTGCATTTACAGGGTATCATCTCCATTTTCTATGCTAATGACAGAGTATACAAAAGGGATAATGATAACAATATGTTTGATTACTTAATCTCTTTATCTCTGTTGTCTTTGCCTCTAACTCGTTTTTGGCAGAAAACAGATAGAAACAGGGTTTGAGAGATATTATATCTTTGTGCTGTGAACACAGCAAAGGCAATCCTTGCACACAACAGAATTGTTTAGCATTCCTTGAAGCATCCTTTCTATGAATCAACCTTACTGTGGGTAAAAATCACAGGTGAAATTTTATGAGAGGAAAGAAAAGATCTCAAAATTTTAAGCTTTACCTCAGAAGCCACCACAGAATTTTTCTATGGAGAGTCAACTACACTGACCGGCAATTTCACAAACAATAAAAGTACGAATATGGAACAATGCAGCTATTTTATCTCTGGGTGCTTGCTTTAAGAGAAATTATCACAACATACACTAACTGATATAATCTATGCAGCTATCCACCTAAATATTTAATCAGATTTTTCTGTAGCCTATGTATCACCCACAGGCTTATAAGCCACAAAATTCTTACTAAGGCATAGTAGAGACCTTAGAGCCAGAAAGGACACAGACTGTTGTTCAGCTTCCAGGAGTGAACTGTGGAACCTTCCAAAAAGAAACATGGGGAAAAAAAACAAGATTAAGATTTGAAGATGTTCAGATTTGAAAATGAAACCTGCTCAGATCTGAAAAAAATTAACATTTGTCCCCACAATACAAATTTTTTGGTATTCAGTTTTCTGAACATCAAGGAAACACAAACCTATTTCTCTCAAGAATTAATATATCATAGAAGCAATAGGTTCTTTGTTTTGAGATACAGCATCTTCAAGAATATCCCACCCTTTAACATTCTACTCTTATTCATTTTTCTAATTTCCCTTCATGTTTTCTTGTTGTATTCATTTTACAGTTTTTAATGTAAGACGAAAAAAGAAATAAATCAACACAAAATAGTAGAAAACCAAACCAAAACATAAAACCAACTAAGCCCATCCATGTATACTTAAAGTATGCTTGAAACAGGTTTTGCTGCTTTAAAAAACGTCTAAGTGATTGTTTGAGTTCTCCTAGCTGAACAGAAATTCTGAGTAAATTCCTCAGAAATGTCAGTAAGCTAGAACCATAGGGCAGATTTTTCAAGCACCCGGGTCCTACATATCTGGTTTCCCTAGCAAAATCTACCACATTGCACTAAGCCCTTAAGCTGCAATGGGACACATTTTCAGCATGCTGAAAATGGGATTACCAATTGCTTGGAAGTGGATCTTGAGCTACGAAAATATAAGGTAATGGGAAATACTGAGAACTGATTGTGATTTAATTCCCCTTCCTCTTAGGATTAGAGGATTGCTTATGGATGTCAAAGAAATGTCCGCTTACAGTTCCAATATGCAGCCCAGATATCCTTGAATTACTATACAGAAACATTTGAACAACCTCACAGACAAACTGGAATCTCATTCTATGTGAATTTCGTAGATTACATGTTAGATTACCCCTAAAATGTATGTGTGTTTAAGTTCCCATTTTCTCTCGTCCAGCAATGTGCCCAGGTGGCCAAGAAGGCCAATGGCATCCTGGTTCGTGTTAGCAATGGTATGGCCAGCAGGACTAGGAAAGAGATCGTCCCTGTCCTTGGCATGGGTAAGGGAGCACGTCAGATCCTCTGTTCAGTTTTCACCCCGCACCACAAGAAAGACATTAAGAAGTGTTCAGAAAAGAGTAATGGAGCTGGTGAAGGGTCTGGAGCATAAGCCTTTTAAGGAATGGCTGAGGGAGCTGGGGTTGTTTAGGCTGAAGAAACAGTGGCTCAGGGGTGACCTTACTGCTCTTTACAGCTACTTGAAAGGCGGGTGCAGCCAGGCAGGCATTGGTCTCTTTAACCAGGCAACTAGTGATGAGACAAGAGGATATAGCTTCAAGCTGTGCCAGGAGAGGTTCACTTTGGACATTAGAAAGAGTTTTCTCATAGGAAGGGTTGTCAAGCATTGGAATGGGCTGCCTAGGGAGGTGGTGGAGTCACCATCCATGCAGGTGTTCAAGAAATGACTGGATGCAGCACATAGCGCTAGGGTTTAGTTGACATGGTCATGTTTGGTCACAGATGGGACTCGATGATTTGGAGATCTTTTCCAACCTAAATGATTCTGTAATTCTGTCTCTCCATGTATTCCCTGCCATGAACAAACATCTTCTTTCATTCTGGTGTTCATCAGGTTCTATTCTGAGTTGCTTCCCCTCTGGGAAAGACGCTATGACTGAAGTCTTTCATAGACCTACATTCTCATATTTTTCCTACGTACTTGCGGTAGAGGGAAAAAAAAAAAATCCTTCAAGGAGACAACAGAGTTGGAGCCAGTCCAGCTTCTCCAGTGAAGTGATCTAAGGGGTAAACACTTTTTCAGTAGTATGATATCTGAAGTCAGTACTCTTCCTTATCCTGAAAACATCAAAATCCACCTTCTTTATTACTAGAATGGTGGAATTTCCCCATCAACTCAAAATTGCAACAATATAATAGAAAATATGAAGGACAATTCTAAATATGTTACATAATCCCACAGGTTCATAAGTGGGCCAGTCTTTCCACGAAAACAACAAATAAACAAAACCCAAAAAACCCTACCAAAAATCAATTTGTCAATCTGAGTTTATGTTGCTTAAGTAACTTAAACACTTCAGAAAATTCTGCTTGTATCACTTGTGTCACAAATGTGTGACAGAAAAATTATGGTCAACTGTTCATAAATAAAAGTATGTTTAAGACTAGATGTCTAACATGTATAAGACATATGTAAACATGTATAAGACAGACTCTGTATTGATGTTTACATTAAAAAATAATACTACTGTTAACAGTCTAAGAAATTAATATTTTATACTTTTAAAGGAACAAAAGCTTTTGAAATGCCAAATGAGATAAAAAGAACCAATGCTGATGAAAATTCTCTCTCAGGTACCAGAGGCTTGTGGATTAACATGGGGAACTATCTTTGTTTGGAATTATAATCAAAAAGAGATAGTCTTACACACTGATAAATGCATTGTGTGGAATAATATCATGACTTTCTGCACAATTGATTTATAAAGGGTTATGCCAAGTGCACATATACAAAATATACATATTAGAGCTGACTAAGGATTTTGTTCAGTTGAATTGATATTACCACAAATCCCCTCTTCATCAGTTACTGTTTGCACTGACATCCAAAACATCTTTTGTAAGGACTCCCTACTTCTATCCAGCACTAGCATTTGCTAGAGTAGCATTTAGACATCTCTGAATACTGAGAGCCACTCGGTAAACAAAGACTGTCCCAAAAAGGGGCTAACCAAAGGAATCTATTATGACTGTAATTAAAAAGACAGAAAAAATTAATTACCTACACCATAGTTACTGGGGTACTTCTTTTTTCCATATGGCTTTTCCAGTGCTTTTGCTGTCACTGCTTATCTTAATTCGTCTGTTTCTTCATTCAATATGCAATTATTTCCACCCACTACTTTACACAGGGCTATAAGAACTTACAGAAGCTAAAAGCTTGACATGTTTTAAATCTTGTAGGTTGTTGTGTAGACAGATGCCAAGATTTCACTGAACCTATCTTTTCATAAAAATTACATCTGCAGGTGGAATAGGCTTTACTGCCTGACAAATGTAAAAACCCACAATGTTTCATAAACCAAAAGTGAAATCTGAAACAACAAATTGAGAGAACTACTTTATGATGCATGTGCAAGTTTTTAGACTCAAGGTTTAAAGTAGATCTGACGGGGGAAAAAGGAATTAATTTCTTAATTACAATCAAGAAACATACGTTACAAATATGATTAAATTCATTCACATGCATAAATAACGTCCAAGTCCATAACTGCTCTGACACAATGTGCCTTCTAAAAGCGAAGAAGACGAGGTATTTTATGATTTTCCTAATACTATTATTTTAAACCTCCTGATTGCCAAGAATGTGGTCTTACTAGCAAGCACTATGTTGCAACATATAGCACATCCATTATACTGGTGTTATTTTTCTTTAGTTTACATGGATGTGTTAGAACACTTGCATTCTTGGTTCCTCTAAGATCAAGTTCAGAGAACGGCAAGAGAAGAGCCATAAAGTAAAAGCCAAGGTGACAGCAATTTGGAAAAAATCCAAATGTTCCTAATTGCAGCAAATTTGCCAGTACTGCTAAAGTCAATGATCATTGGCAGAGTCAGATGTTCAGAGAAACTTCAATATGAAAAGTGTAAAAATCAAGTAAAATCTAGTAAACACTCTTTTTAAAAATTTTCCCTTTTAAAAATGACACAGCATTTCACAGTATTTCAATGTGGCAAATTCTCTGAAAATTAATTCTTTGAAAAGCCTGATGATTCTGCTTTTTGTGTGAAAGCAACGTGGCCAGCACCTAAGCTGGCCTGTCGTTTTCATACAGATACATATTGACAACACAGCAATTGACAAAGATATAGATACATATGGATAGAACACTAATTTTAAATGTCTAGGAGACCAGATTAACCTGAATGGTTAACATTTTACATTCCAAATGCAAAGTTAATACATTAAGGCTATTACAATTCTAGATGCTATAAAACGGTTTCAGTAGAATAGTCATGTAAATTGAAAAGAAAACCAGTGTCTCTTCAGACTGGAAACTAAGATAAATTTTGCCCCCGGATGAGAAATTCCTTATCTAGCCAATGCATCTGGCAGTCAAACTTGTTTCTTCCTAGATGCCTGTCATTGAAAGAGCAGGGATATGGGTCATTGTAAAATGCTAGCAAAATGAGAAAGCAGTTCTTTACAGATGAGTCTTAACCTGTCTGCCAGTTTGTGTAATCTGAATTGTTCTGTTCGTCTGTATTCTCCATTAGCAACAGAAATTCTAATTAAATTACAGAATGCAGGAAACGTATGGCCCTCACTGGTGCAATAGCTAGGTTTGTCTAGCACACAGTGGTAGAACTCGTTTATCTGAAAAAACACAGAATAAAATTAACATGCTCTCCCCTGATCCACTGCTCTTGAGTACATCAAGAAAACTTGAAGATGCGTAGCTTTGGTAACTGGATGCTTAGCATGGCTCTTCACAGATGTATCATACTCATGCCACAGGGGAAAGGACTCAAAGATTTCTCCTTATGAATACATAGAGCCTATAGGCCTGTGTAACATTGGACACTCAGGAAAATTAATTCTAATTAATTTGTAGAGTGAATTAGTTAAAAATCAAAATATTCCTTTGTCAATATTCTCACAAGAAATTAAGAAGCAAATTTAACTTAGTTTAGATTAATTCACTTCACTTGCAGCCCTGCAAGTATTTAACATCTTTAAGTGATCCCCTGTAAAACTCACACTTTTGGTAATTTAGTTAAATTTACCTGAGTATCTAAGTATAGACAAGACTGTAAAAAGTAAACGGTCATTAATTACCACTTCTCTGTAAAATATGAAGCGACTTATCTAGCTTTTCTCATCACAGACATCCTCAGTTAATGAATAAAGGCTCTGATGTACTTAGTTGAAATGCAGTCTCACACGAATTCTGTTCAACTGGGGGAAAAAGGAGAGGGAAGTCCCTATTTTTCTAGAGAAATGAATGAATGAGTTATGATCAAGCACATATTACTGTTGCTGCCAAAAAAATTATACATAGGACATCAGAATAAACTTAAAATAAACAGCACAGCTTTATGAAATGTTCAATTTTTATATTTACACTATAATTAGTACAAAATTGCCTTTTAAGTTTTCTGTAGCACAAGACAGTATCTACCGGACTTGATACCCTAGTATGTCAAAACAACTACTTTGAAGTATGATAAAAGAATCTAGGAATAGTTATAAAGAATAAGACACCATTTTCAAACTATACATAGTGTTTGCTTTTGATTCTAAAAAGGTACTTATATCCCCAAACGGTTTTTAATTTTAAATAAGCAGGGCAGGCAGGGAGGGGGCAAGGGGGAAGACCGGTTGTTGATACTAAAGCCTTTACTGTAGTAAACTAAATATATTTACAATTTATACAAATGTTTGACCTTCAACGAAAATATTAAAACATATCACAAGATGCAAAACCATGAAACAAGTTCATCTGAGACACTGCTGCTCTACACAGGACAGAATGCAACTTGAACTGCAAGGAACAGAAAGGTATTTATCCCCCATATTCAGGCAATGAGAACAATTTGCGTGAGGTCATAAATGAAAAAATAAAAGGCTGCAACATTCTTCAGTAGACTTGGCTTTTAAAAACTATGTCAAAAACCTAGGCTAAATCTGTCCATCTTGCCTCTGTGTTCCATCCGGTCCATGTAGCCAGAACTTAGTTGCTGGATGTTGTCTTCTATTTTGAAAAATCGAAGCAGTTTCACGGCAAGGTCTGGAACCTCAACACTTTTGTACCTTATAAAAGTCAAAACCTTTCTACTTAAACAATTAAGAACAATTTGGGCCAGTTCAACTTCTAAAAGTTATATCCCCATCGTATTTTTCAGTAGATAACTTCATAGACTGTAGCTTTTTTGTCTCCAGAGCCAGTGACTATGTACTTATCATCCACAGAGATGTCACAACTAAGCACTGATGAAGATTCTTTTGACTAGAAGAAAAATAGAAATATATTACATCATTAAAAAAAGTCTGTTACCCATTTTGGATAGATCACATATATTAAGATATCTGAGTCCACTCTTGGGACTCTGGGTATTCTAACTTTTTCCTTAAAAGCAATATCACCCTCACCTGGAAGATACTGGCTCCGTAAGGAGTTCTCCATGCATTAAGAAGGTTATCTTTCCCAGTACTCACAAACCATTTACCTAGAATATAAACCAGAAGGACTACAGAAACATGAAATAGAACATCTGACAAATTTTGTGGTTTGAATTCTTATCAATGAAATCTGTTAACTAACTACCATTATAAAAGCTCTCACCACTAAACAAAATAGTACTTTTGCTTACAATCAGTGTAGACACTCATGCTTTTGCAGTGCATTACATACTAGGAAATCCCTAGATTCTGTAAACAGAAACAGCTTTTTACACATGAATCAATCCTCACAGTAGCCTTTAGACAAACAGATGGTTGTTTGTAGATAAGTGCATGTGAATTCATAAAGCAGAGATATTAATTCATTACTTAAACTGAGATACTAAATAAATTTTGATGATCAAATGAGCCATGGCTATATAATAATTAATCAGCAAAACACAAATAGAGCTCCGATCTCCAGTTCTGTGTTCAGGGCAACTTACCACAGTAAGCAAACTTGAGTGACAATACACAACTCTCATGAAGGTGCAGCTGATATTTGTCCGGTTTATTTACATGTAGCACTTCTACATTGCTGCTCTCCATTCCCACAGCTAGCCATTCACCAGTAGGGCAATAACCAAGGGAAAATATCTGAAAATTATACCACATTTACACCTTTTATTAAAGAACTAAAGATAGTTATAGAAAACTATCTTTAGAGAACTAAAGATAGTAAATAGAAGTAAAGATAGTTCTTCCTTCTGCAGTTAAAATTAATTTGGAGAGGGAGAGAGAGAGAAATAAGGGCAAATTCAAATAGTTCAACAGCAAGACTGCAGTTCAAAATTCAAGTAACTAAATAACTCCTGGTCTTACCTATTAACTTAGGAAAAAAGAGTAGTGTCAGGCTATCATTTTGTTCTGGATTCTAAGCATATAAGAAAGCTTCAAAATATTGTGTTGTGAGCAGCCAAAAAGAAGAGAGGGAACAATGTGGCAATTGCACTGGGCTCAATCTCACCTCTCATCCTAAGTGTCTCCTTCCCACAGCACACAGTCCCCCAAGCTGTAGGAAAATCCTGTTACCTGTGATGTGAAGTCATGCTGTTGTAGCTGTCTCCCCTCTCTCAAGTCCCAGGATCTGACAGTGTTATCCAAACCGCCTGTCCAGAGCTTAGTACCATCATTAGAAATGTCAATACAGCTGGCTCCATCTGTGTGGCCCTGGAATTGCCTGATAAAAAAACCAGATTGAATAACTATTTCCTGCCAGACCTCAAGGTAAACACTGTTGTAGTGTTAGTTTTGGACTCTGTACATGTGTGTTATCTCTTCTGTGTCTGCTGATGAGCAAGAATTAGCCCCTCCCTTTTACTAAGCATTAAATACCAGTCTTGCAAAAACGTTTTCCAGGTGCTAGAGGAATGAACTGCATCATGGCTAGCTGAATAAGTCAAATCTTTCCTATCAGGTTTTGAATAGCAAAAAAACCCCACCTGTGAGAATACTAAAGCACAGTAACTCTAGTTAAAACCACTAAGGACAACTCAGATTAAATCAAGTGCTCAAGGAACAAAACTTCCAGTTTCAGAAAACAGCTTCTGTATTTTTCTTTGGCTGCAAGTCAAGAAGATAAATAAAAGGCAGATATTAATAGAAGGGGATCCAGATAGAGATCCAGACAGTTAAACTCTAGCATTGTTGAGTCACTAAATTGCATTCTCTGTGGCAGATTAGAAAAATCTAAATGGTGCAGTCCTTCTCATTAGCAACTCCCAGCTTTCAGCAACCAGAAGGTCATCTCAAGTTTTTCTTAACCCTTTGGCAAAATCCTATGCCTCAGTGTGAAAGGTGGAGGGCAGGTGGGGAAAAGACAACTAGCTTGGGAACAGAGGGTATGAATCACTAAGAGCTGCCATGGAAAGGTCATGAGGCACATTTTGTTTTGTAGCTCTGATCTCAAAATTCCATGTGTCAGCAAGATCAGCCAGCAAGTGGTGGGAACACCTATAGTAAACATTTAAAAAACAAGACAGTTATAGATGGAGAAAGTGCACCTTTACAGGGACTAAGCATGTACAGGGCAAATGGAAGATTTTTATAGGAATAAAATCGTATTTATTGGCTCAGAAGTTCAACAGAAAGCAAAATTTGCATGGGTGTTAACATGATTATTTGCATAAAATTTTAAGCTAATTACTGATATACAGGAACTTTAACTGAAACACAGCAGACTAAGCATATTCTTCAGTGTTTGTGTTCAGAACTTTTAAGGTAACATGGCCTTTCCCAAATTAGACTATCTCTTCTCAAAATATTGTAAACCAACACTACTTTGGTAAGCAAAAATTTATAAAATTTATATTCTAGTTAACCCCTGTGCTATCCTAAAGAACTGAGGTTCCACACTTTCATTACTTTCCACTTTCATTACTTCTATAAGATTAATTTTCCTACTTAACATCATTAAATAAGAATTGAAAATTCTTTTTATGACTTAACAAGGCTTAAGACATAGGAAAAGAACAAACCTCAGAGTTCCCTAAAAGGCACGTTCAGTCTATACTGATCACAAACCAGCAGAAATGCTGCTTGTAGAAACCTGCAGACCAATCCCAACTATTTGAAACGCACAGGAACTTTTACACTGACTGCAGTAGGTTATGGACCAAACCATTAGGCCCTGAAAGCACATCTTCCAAGACTAGGCTGAAGATACCAAAACTAGTTTCTGACTAACTTGGGTGCAAGCCACATTCTTTGAATAAAGAGATACTATTTACTTTGCTGTCAGGAACCCTATTCGGGGAGATAAATATTTATGTAGCAGTCCAAAGAATAACTTCTACGAAAATCTTCTGTAAATAAGTAATGACTCACCTGACCAATGTCTGATTGTGCAGATCCCACACTGCAATGTTCCCATCACTGCAGCATGAAAAACACACCTTGGAATCAGGGCTGATAGCCAGTGCATAGCAGGCAGGTGCTGAGGATGTCAGCTCTGCTTTTATACGAGGAGTTGGTGCTGCCAGGTCCCATATGGATAATGTGCTGGCTTCCCCGCCAACTATAAGGGTGCATCCATCAGGCAGCAATTTACAAGAGCGGATGTAGTTATCTCTATTCTGTACAACACAAATCACCTCAGTTATGTTAATACATGCTTGCCAGTAATGACCACTAATATGACTCTAACTACATCAAAGTTTTAAAGAGTTTGCTACTTTTTCCATTACCAAAGTACTGAAGAGGAACCAGCATATTCTAAAAGGTTTCAAACACCTACTTGTCATCACTAATTAGAGACTGCAACTGCAGAAATTAAAAGTGCAGATTCCTGTTGCCACAGACTACACTGTTGCAAACCTGATAAACAGCAAGTTTTCTATCTCATTACACAAAAACAGAGACAAAATAAGCTTGCATTTCTGCAAATGCACTCCCATAAGTGAAGGTCACCAATAGTAGAAATATTAAAGCAAATGATCTTTCATTTGGCATTCAGACAACCCTACAGGAAAATATAGTTCAAGTCTCATGCCCTTCAGGTTTTGGAATTTTTCTTTCAAATCCTATTTTGCATTCACAGTATTAAAGTTAAAAGATTAGGTATTCCCATACTGGTCTTATGTTTATGTTGGTCCTTTGCTGTTCAACATGATTCTTATCGTACTTATCAATTTCGCGTTTGTGATACTACTGCTGATTGCGAGGTACTACAGGAGAGTTAGCGACAGAAGACACTTCTTCCTTCACTTATTACAAGTTTGCTTGACTGGCAGCAGTTCTTTAGTAAATGGATGGTTAAGATGTATAACTCAAAACCACGAAAAAAACACTTGAAAAATGTAGTTAATAGCATTACTACTCCTATTTTTTTTTCCTTAATTCATGGCAAAGGAGCAGTAAGCAGTCCAGTGGAAATGTTGGCTTAATCAGTCATTACTGCTCTGTAACTAAAATTAAGGCTCTGTATCCAGACACATACCTGAAAAGAATGCCTATTCAATTGCACTGTTACTGCTAGGCAATTAACAAAAGGATAGCAATAAATAAAGGGTAAAGGGTGAAAAAATCAAAATCAAAACAAAAAACTCAGCCCACTTACTGAATTATTTTCATTCAGAATACATATTGCTGTGCTTTACAACATTAAGTCTTTTCAATTAACATTTCACAAACACCTACACTGCTTCTGAAGAGAAGAATATTTTAGTGAGCCATGAGTCAACTTTTTTTGAGTTAGCTTTTCAGATACCTATACTACTGCACCCAATCCCTTTTGTATCCTGCACATGTGAAAACAACCAACCTATATGTATAACTTGTGGATCATGAACAAAAGTATAGAGAGATTTAAAGTGACCTTGGTACCGTATCGCATTATTTCATCATGGTTGTTACCATCTTACAAAACATGAGATTGTCACTCATCACGTGAGTGAAAGAACTAGGAAGATTCTGAGCAGCACTGCAGAAGCCGAGCTGCATTCCTTTTAAACTTATGCATAAAAATCATCAGCATAATGGGTGGAGGAGGGGGGAAGAGGGCAAAAAAAAATCATTCTACTCAGAAATCTGATCTGTTATTTGACCCTTAGTGACGATATTTGTCCCTAAACAAACCAGCAATATTCTCTGTAACCTGTTATGTGCTAAATAAAAACCCACCAGGAAACAGATCTGCCTGCTATTTCCTTGTCATATGAACAAAATCCAGTCAAGGACAGCTATTTCCTTACTGAGTCTCTATGGAGAAGCTACCTGTGTGGACAAGTTCCTGTTCACCTACCAGGCAGTCCAGCTGAGAGACAGGGCTCTTGTTGCCAGGCTGGCTGATGTCCCAGACTTTGACGCACCCCTTCCCACCTGTGTACACGTGTCTTGTGGGGTTGCTGATGGTAACTGCACACACAACTTCCCCATGGTTCAGAGTGTTGATCTGACGGGCATGGCGAGGGATTCCTGGACCGATGAGGGCATCAGGAGGGAAAGGAACTGGCTGCATCTGACCATCTGCAGTAACGTGAAAGGAGTAGGCTCTTTTGGGGAAGAGAAGAAAAGAGAAAACAAAACAAACACAAAAATCAGCCATTACAGTACTATGATGCAAGAAAAACACAATATTTTTAATTTTAATTCTTTGCCAATCATCTTTTTCATAAAAATCAGAGCTATAGTGCCAAGTAACACAGGCACATGAAACCTCAGAGGGAGATAAGGATTCACAAAAGAAATTTTCAGCTTGCCTCAACTTAAGTGTTTGTGTAGTGGGGAAGCAGGTTAAATTCTACCCTTACACCTACATCCCAAGGTCATGGCTGCTATCCCTCAATCACCTGGATAATCAAAAGAACTTTCAGCCCCTGGTTTCTAGCCAGCAGTTTCAAGTCTCTACACCACAAGTCCTACAGCAGCAGTCTCTCACCTGGCACTGCTGTCTCATCCTTCTTCCAGGAGGTTTGAACCTGTTGCCTTGCAGTAGCACTAGCCAAAGATAAAGTTTTGCTTGATTTCTGCATCTTAGCTTTAACATCACCACCAGCTGTGCTCACATGCCCCTCCTTCTACCTCGCAACTAGTGCTTTAAAGAGAAAATGGAAACATGTAGAGTGGTTGTTCACACCTTTCCTCAGAAAGCCAATACCATCATATTATAATTGTTTTCCTGAATAAGTATACTGGAAAAACTGAAAGGCTCAGTTTTTCAGATAAGTCTTGGCTCTTCTGAAACACCTTTTATTTGTATTCAGTGCATGATTTCAAGCACATGGAAACTGAGGGTTGAGGAAGTGAAATACCAGCACTGAATAAAAACACTCTTCCTTAGGGGAAGTACCATGAAGAAATTATTTCTTCATGGTCATTCAAATGCTGAGTCAGCTCTACTCAAGGATAAGGGCACAAACACCAACTAAAAAAGGTTTCAGGTACAGGGGTTTCTTCGTTTGTTTTAAATAATAATGAAAATACTACTGCAAAAGGCTGGTTTTTGTTATACTAGTGAGCTCCTTTTTTGCTGCTTGTGGTTTAAGCACATCCATATCTCATGCTTTTGATGCTGCTGTTACATTAACAGCATTCTTCAAGAGGCCAAAATGGATAAAAAATGGTGAGATATGAGTATTCTTTTTTCTTCTCACTAATGATCTGCCATCTCTCTCTAGTGATACCTTTATTTTTCTAATATATTCTTGTGTTCAGAATTGTCCTTTCTTTTCCAAATCTACTTTCTTCCTCAGAAAAGTTCACTGTAGCTCAACTATTAGTATTGCATACATCTTCCAAGAACCCAACAACAGATATTTCTATTTAATCTTCTGTTCTGAGCAATAAGCTAGTATTTTCAAAGTATTTTATTACATGTTCCCAAGTATCACACAGTTTGAAATGAAGGAACAAGCAAGACGCCTGGATCTGTAACAGACATCACAAAGCAACTGAACACACCCAGAAGCAGAGCAGAAGATATTACTTTGAAAAACAGTGAGAAGAGGAGAGATGAAAGAACTGTACAGTTCTTTCATACAGAAGATAACAGTGGAAATAGTCACCCCATGAAATATCACAGTTTTCTTGGAAGGGAAGGGTAAAACCTGGTGAACAGTAACTGCTTTAAGACAGAGAAGAAATTAATAGTGCATATACATGCAATTTCTGTACTTCATTTATGTTTCATGGTAGGACATATGAGTGGAAAGCCTGCTCAGAGAATATACAGAAACAGAGGATGAGCAAGTGCAAAAGATGACAAATCTTTTATGTCATAGAAATGTCAGGAACAGGAAATGTAAGGTAAGAAAGGAAGTGCAAAGTTCACTCACATGTATACAAGGCACAGAGTATATCAAATGTATTTTGTCCCACGGCACCCTTGCTCTTTTTTGTATGAAAAATTACAGTAATAATAAAGACTTATCTAGAAATCTGTATCCAGGAGAAATAGAGACAAGACTGTCCCAAAGCAGCTATTCAATAAACTGATCAGACACAGGATGAGAGAGGAAACAGAACAGGAGTGGCAACAAGACTGCCTGAGGCTGAACAACTGCTCAGGTTCATCTATAGAATCCAACTGAAAAGTCATAGCACTTAACACACTGAAAAGCTGCGCCCCATCCTGGGGTCCAAATCTAAGTCAGTTGCAGAATATTTGTTAGCAGTAAGAGTACACAGAACTACACAACTTTGAAGTCTCAGCCTTCCCTTGCTTTTATCATGGACTGAAGTAAGACAATTAAGCAAGTATTAGGCAATTTCTTCCAGCATGTTCAAGATGATTAATTTACTTGTTCGTGACTTTTTTTTTTAATGGAAGGTCACAGCTCAAATGTTCTGTTCAATTCAAAATACCTAAATAACTGGTGTTTTGAAATGCTTAGATGCATACACAGAGATTCTCAGTTCTTGATGACATGGGGTGTCAGGAATAGAAGAGAACACTTTTCAAGTACACAATTTCGTGTGTACTGTAGAGTTGTGATGACTCTCCTGCTCTGAAACATGAGAAACCTACCCAGTGTATTTTTCATTATGTACAATTTTACCAGTATGCCTGTGTTTTAAGTGTGGCTATACCAATCATAGAAATAGTCTGTCTTTATCATCATGAGGTGGCATTTGCTTCTAATACTAGTTGATCAGGACCCAGGATGACTGAGTTTGATGGCCCAACAAATAGACAAGGGATAGTTTTGTACAAGCCAAGAGAGATTTTTCTACAATGTAAGTTATCTGCAATTCACTGTAGAAAGAAATGGCTAGACTTTGCCAAATCCCTCTGCCAAGACAAGTATACAAAAAAGTAAATGCTTCTGTTTGCTTGACGATATTGCTAATGTAATAGCAATATGATATGTAATCTAATATCACCACTGACAGCATACTTATGGGTATGGTGGTCTAGTGACTTGTATCTGCTAAGTATTATGGTATAACTTTTTGTTACACATACCTTGTAACTTCGACAAAATTTGCATCGTTTGCCAGACTGACTCTCTAGACAAGGAAAGCTTCTGTCCCCAGAAGAACACAGTAATGGAGACAGCAGTGCAAATGACTCTAATCGCTAACCTCAAAATTGACAACCATTTTCACTGTCCAGCCTCAAAAGAGTCAATAGTTAGTAAAATCCAGCGAATCCTTGAGTTCTCTAAAGCTCAAGATATTTCTTAACAGGCACCAACTGACCACCATCTTTTTTTAGAACTGACAGGGTAGGTCAGAAAGTGTTGTTCAGCCTCATGACTAGCACAGATTTCTGTCTCACTCTGAGCATTCTGCCTATATGATAGATAGCTATCCAATCATGGATTCCATGAATATCCATCTTTGGCCAAATGACAGTTAGCATTAAGAGATCCCTTCTTCGTATTGGGCTAACAACCACAGCAAACAAAGAAAACTGTCTTATATAAATGCACTTACAATTTAATATAAAACAAGCTAAGTATATATCAACTAATATGTAAATATATACTTGTAATTAAATAAATATTATTAAAAGAACAACTACAAGACAAACTTCTGTGCCTTTTATTTAGAAGAGTTCTGAGAAACAGTATACTGTCACCTATATTATTTCTGAATAACAGAAATATTCTTCTCTCTACTGCATCCAAAGACTTTTCTTCATCTGTGTCAAAGCAGCACAGAGAACCTGCAGAGTTCCTATACACAGCAACATAGTAAGTTTTATTCATACAACCCAGTTTCTCAGTTTAAACCTCCAATTTCCAAATAAGTATACAGCAAATATCATCTGACATGCTGAGGAAAGTTCAGAATAATTAATTCACTACTCAAGAATGTAGCAAATAAACTAAACTATCTGCCAGCTACTCCAAGTATTCAAATTGATATAATGCATACAATTCCTGCCTAATTAAAGTATGATGTCTTAAAAAAAAAACAAGAAAAAACCCCCATAAATACATAAACCAAACTCCACAGATAGTCACTTAACTATGAAATACCAGGATACAAAGTGCAGCAGCAGACATGCACTGTCCTTTTGTCTTGAACAGTGTAACAACCAGAACTCAGCTACAGCAAAATAGGGTTTGATAGCTTACAATATAAAATATTTCCAGGCATTAATAATGAAAACAGTCACTGAAAGCTTATGAATATACTTACTTAAAAGTAAAAACTTACAGCCATTGGATTATGCCATCTTCAAAAGCATTTCATGTAAGTATGCCAAATTCCATTAAAGCCAGCAAGAATGAGTCTGCCACTTAATGAAAATGTTTTGAGAACAAAGCCTTCTCCTTACTGCATTGAATTTAAAAACACCACCATCTGATATAAAACACCAACTCACTGAGCCCTCACCCCAGTATTCTTGTCAACATACCACCAACTTTAAGTAAAACCAAGATTTAACAGGTTTTTCACACTGCCAACAGATTGATAAGCCTGTTCTCAGAAGCATGGTGGGTAACAACAAAAACACATTCAGGATGGCTTCCCAAATAAAGTCTGCTGCTTTCCTACTGTTATAAGAAAAGATCAGAAGAAAATACAGCTTTTTGCCTGTAATCTGGTGCACTTTTAAGGATGTTTGCAAGATTGACATTAAAACATATCCCTAGTTATTAATAGGAGTTTAAAATGAAAGCAAACAAAAACATGTGAGCATATAACTTTCACCACAGCCTGTCTTGGAACTCAGACAGTATCCTACAAGTAATAATTTTTTAATTTTTCCTGAAACAGCAAAAGGAAAAATTAAACCAAGACAGATTGGTAAATAAGACATTAGAAACATGTAACATGAACACTGAGCTCAGAAAGCGCAAAATATGAGTTTCAAAATTATATAAGTACCTGGCTAGAGGAAAACTACTCTAATTGCAACTTCCTGTTGAAAGAGAAGACAGGAATGACCGCCAAACATGAGGAGACAAAGATGTTCTAACACAGTGTTGAAAAACTTGTTAAAATTCTCTCTGCCTCATTCTCTCCAGATAAAAAGCTGAGTCAAATTTGCTCTGTTAGTACCTACACAGACTACTTTTCCAGAAATACCTAAAAAATAATCACATATTTTAACAGGTCATACATGCTCATGAGTCTACTGCATATGGTCGGTTCAGTTTCAATGGTACATCAAAGCCACATTACCTAAAAATTTAGTGTATGCTGGTGAATTTATTTTACTGCAACATCAATAACCCACAGCATTGCAAAAGTATTTTATTTAACAACTGCTTCATCAATAACTAAAATTTTTAAATAAAAAGAATGTGTTGTCAAAGCTATTCTACACCTATGCATCACCTGTTCCACAACTGCTTCATCCCTCTTTTGCTCTCCAGCTGTACATTCATACAGAAGTTCTAAATAGCTTGCTCCATTATGTAAGGTGTGTGTAATCTGTTGCTTAAGTAACTGCTTCAGACACCCATTGTCATCAGTTGCAGACTCTCTTGCCTGATAAAACAGGTGCCAGACAAGAAAGTCTGCAAGCTTGCGCTGCACATTTATCCTCAGTGTAGTGTAAAGTTTAGTTTCAATATGGTTTTATCTAACACATTTTACAAGCATCTACCAGTTTGTAGTCCCCCTAACTTCCCCCAGAAAGGATGAAATAAAAAAAAACAACTTAAAAGTATACCTTCAGCAACTCCTTCTTGGAAATAGGTATATGCATACCTGTTCTGGGATACGACAAGTACCATTTGAGAATCTTTAAGCTTCTTTTACCAGGAAAAGACTAAAATAACCTCTTGAGAACAACCAGACACTATCCCCTTTGAAATTCTTGTTCTGTGACACAATATAATTTTATTCTCTCTAGATATTGTAGATGTTACCAAAATCTTAAAAGTTACTTACGGTTTTCCCCCAGGAATCCCTGCTAGATTTGGAGGAATTCCAGGTACTCTCATGTGAGGAGGAGGATCAAACCCAACCTGACAATGAAAAGTGAATTAATCTCACACTTGCAATTTCTCATTCAGCAAGTCATTTTTCTTCATTCCCAAGATATTATGCATTTAACCAAAAGGTGCCTTTTACCCACAGTATTAAAGAAGTGCATGACCCTTCATTGGGGGGTAAAACGAAGATATTTTTCCCGGGCATGCTTCTGAGAAGCATTCATATGCAAAGAGAAAACCAGTAACATATATCATACATTCACACCACTGAGCATAACACAAGCAGCTCTGTGTTAGTAGAGAATCAAAGTCCTGTGTTAACCCTGGAATTAGAGTCCATGGTATGTCAGCATGAAGCCACCTAGTGCTCTTTACCTCTGGGAGAGCTAGCATGTACCCAGGCTGGCACAGTGAAGTGCTGGAAAGCAGCTCTAGGCCCCAGCTAGGATCTGTCCACGGATCCACACTGTTCTGTGTGGGCACATTAGCTGAGAGATCTCTCCCATTGTAGCATGTAAACAAATTTTCTACAGCTTAAATAGACAAGTGCTCTCTTTACATACTGCAATTCCACCACATTTTCATATCCTGAGTAAGTACACACATTAAATAATCCAAGCAGAAATTCTGGATGAAAAATACTTCAATTTTTCTTCTGAATGTTATACCTGAGTAAAAACCATTATTGCTTTAAAAGGAGGGTGTCTGCTAATTAGAATTTCCACATTTTCACATAAAAGCCCTGTTTACCAGTTTGAAAAAAGTAGTCATACTTACAATAATGAGATGACAAGCTTAAATCCAATTTTGCAAATTTACAAGTAGGTAAGTTCGTCTATGTATAAAAACTGCCATCAAGTTCATGTTTGCAGAATCAGGCCCCTAGATTATTCCGTGTGACAGCAGGTATAGCTACTATGCTCCATTTACTTAGTACATCCACAACAGCAACTATTCTTAACACACCTTAGCAAAGAGCTCCAAGACAGGTACCGATCATAGGTTGATTTCCACAAAAAAAAGAATAAAATACAGGGACAGAGACATAGATAAAAAAAGCTTTTGCATGCTTCAAGAAAAATTTGTTATGTCTGTATGGAACACAAGTGTGGTTCGTCAAAAAAAAGGCACAGCTTCGTGTAGTACACAATTACAATGAAATACTTTGTGGTTAGCAAAACTATCTTTTCATTTACAGCACAAAATAATTTTTTGGCATTACTCATCAGTTAAATCACTGATGAAGATGAATAAAAAAAGGAAATACACATTACTGTACAGAGATTCTTTGTTTTCAAGGTGCAAATTTGTTTCTGCAGCCACGCAGCAAAGTGAAACGCAGTGAAGCTGTAAAGCCTTTGGTGCTGTTACCACTTGGGAATTTAGCAGTGCTAAATGAAGCATTTTCTCAGTGAACCACAATTCACATGACGGAGATTGCATGCAACGTATGGCTTACCATAGGAGATCTTCCATAGGCAACCACAGCAGCTGCAGCAGCAGCAGCACTCATCTGCGGCGACATATTGTGCAGACTGGCATAGGCTGCCCCTGGACTAGTTAACTCCCCATTCATGCCAGCATGAGGTACCATTCCAAATGGAGCAGGGTATGGTCCTGGTACTGCCAACGGTGTCCGCAAACCTGCAGCTAGAGAATAATGAAATTAAGTACATTTATTTAGATATGGCAGCATACAGAGAAGAAAACAGTCCTTTTCTTCCCCTACAATGCCTAACCTTCCCCTCTTACATACACACACTGTCAAGACACATTGCCATAATAATAACCACCAGCTCTTTTTACTTAGTGTAAGATCTACTGAAGTTTGAACTTGCTGATTATTTCTAGCAATCTCTTCTAGCATTACCTATTTCCATTCCTGTAATAATCTCTTAATCTCTTCTTTGACAAATTAAGCAGTAAAGCTGACAGACATGGTTTACAAAGCTCATGTCTGAAGCCAACTTTGTGTACCAGCCTGAATAGCAAAAGTAAACTTTGCCCAGCATTTGTCAAGCTGTGCACTGCAGCAAATACTAGTAGACTCAAAGACTGTAGAAGGGATTGCACACAGAACAACTACCAGAAACTTCTGAGAAGTCTTTTTATTTTGCATTCAGTCCAATAATCCAGAGATTATTTGCAAAAAAGATAAAGGTGAAAGTAAACAAAGAAGAATAAAAGATAGAAACATATTCAAAGTCTTGATAATCCAAACATCTGCTTCTCATTAAGCCCTCTCTTGATATCAAGAATAATGCAATACATTTGCATTATAACAGTCGCAAAGAACTATGTATGTAAAAACCGACTAATTTTGGAACCATAAAAACACATGAGGTAATGATTACCAGCTTGGTTAACCAGAGGGTCCATTGTTGGAGGTTTGCCAAGGCCTGGACGAAGTCCTGGAGTTGCACTAGTGCCTGGGGTTGGCACATCACCCCGAGGAGTTGGTGTGTTGGATTTCAGAACAGGCGTACTGGCTTTTTCATGCTGGTATCATTAAACAAATTAAAAGAGTATTATTTTTAATCTAGGCCATATTACACAATTTATCACAACAGGAACTGGAATGCTGGGCACCGACTACCTAGTCCCTCAGCCAATTTTCATATATCCACACAATGATGACAACATTAACTTGTGAGAGAGAAATGCTGACCTTTTTGATTGCTGCCAAAACTAAAATAAGAAATGTAGAAAGATATCTTTCCTCTTCCACTAACATAAAAAAAATAGATTCCTGAGCTAAATTTTTCAGGACAACACCATATGCATCACCAAACTATTTTAGCTTGAAATCATTAATATCTCAATTATTATTGGGCACAGCAAATCTAAGTACAAAAACAAAATACCACCTCGATTGATATTATCAAAAAAACATGACACAAAAGGTACAGATAATCTGATCAAATTATTAGTGATACTGCAGGAAAAAGTTTTCAGAGAATAACTGTTTATTTGGAAGAGTTTAAGAAAAATCTGGAGCACTTCTTAGTGACTATATACAGGCTATGTTAAACCATAAGCTACAGCTCCAGAAAAAAAATAAACAATGCTTAAGCAACCCTTGTATTTTGTAATAAATTTGCAACTCATTTGACAGAAATGTAGCAAATACAAGAAATCAAAACAAAGCAGAAAATTATGAGAAGGAAAGCTGAGTAATACTATAAAGGTCTGGAAAAACAATGGTCGATTTCAGCTTCAAATGTTTAATGCCAGGTACTTTGTGTCACAAGTAGTTGCAAGAGAACAGGGTTAGATTTTACAAGAAAGAATATTTATCTGGACAACAGACAGCTACCTACCAGACCCATTTCTTTGGATTTGAGGGAAGTGGAACTTCCTGAAGAGGCTGTAGATGCTGGACTGCTTGAGGCATCCTTCTTTAGTAAGCGGGTTTTATCTACACCATTTTCACGGGGTGAATGAGTGGGACTTGCCCTTGGGGAAGAAGGATCCTAAGACAATTGGAAGGGAAGAACAGTACAGAACCCTGTCATGCCTTGGTACACAAACACCACTAACGAGTCTATGACAAAAAAATCCTAGGAGAATTTAAGCAGCAAGTTCAAATAACAAAACATTTTGTTATCTTTATAGAAAAAAAGCTGAAATCCCTTCATCAATTTAGAAACATAAGTAAAATCATATAGCAATCTGTTTTTATTTTACACTACATGTAATCATAAATTGTTCCCTAGCACAGAGCTTGCAATCTAAGTATACCTAAGAACAAACTAAAGCAAGGGCACAAAATGTATCGTAAGCACAAGGGAGACCAAAAGTAACTGCAGTAAGTTGATACCGTTTTTCTGCATACATTCTCTACATTTTGCTAGTGACAAACATTTTGATAATCTCTTTCAGGCAATACAGACCTTGCTAATCTCTACCTTCAGAAGAAGAGATAAAGATGCATGCTTTCGCAGATTTCACAGAATATTCCGAGTTGGAAGAGACCCATAAGAATCATCAAGTCCAACTCTTAACTGAATGGCCTGCATGAGGATTTTTATATGCCACAATATCAGCCACTTTTTTCCGAAACACCAACTACAATTGCCTTGCTACTTAAATCTACAGGAAAAACTGAAATTACCTCTCAGGTGATTATTTTTCTCTGTTCCAGAAGTACTCTCTGCATTTATTCTAACCTGAAATACCCAGCCCCACAAGTTGAAATGCTATCAGAGCCCTGCAGGTTCTCCATGCTCCTTTGGCTCATAAAATTAGTATTAGGTAGGAAGCACACCTCACGAGAGGGTACTAAGTCTACTGACCAATTATTGAGCAGTTTCATTGTAAGCAGGGCTTCTGAAAGGATTACTAAAATAGCTAGTTTGATACTTATTTTTCTAGTTGGCTGTAATTTGGGCACTCGGAGTTGCTAAAGACACTTCTCTACCAGCTTCTCTCCTTGTGCTTTTCACAGAGCTGAAGAACCTCACTACCATATTCTGACTTCCTACATCACCTTGTTGTATAAAATAAAAGATGAAGAAAAGGGAACACCCATCCCCTCACCTTGATGCCATTGCCAAATCTCTGCCCTGAAGAAAAGAAAGTGTCTAAAATCTCTGGAAGATCTTGTGAATGGACTGACTTCATTCTAAAAAAACGCTTCTGGAAAATGCTGTCTTTAACAGAGGATGTTAAAATACAAACAATTTTTAAGGCAATCTTTTTAATAACAGTCCTACTATTAAATACAACATTAGATGTCTTCCTTTTGCATTTGAAGACAGTAGTTTTGAAAACCTCAGCCTTCCACACATATCTTACACAACTCTCTACATTATAGAGCAGCTGTGAAGCCTCAGAACATTAACTGCAGAGTGAACAGACCTGGACAAAGCAGCAGAAGGAAAAGCGGAGAAGGCAACCAGACAAAGCCCAGAGGAAGACATAGTAACTGCAGGAAAGCAGATATTGTGAATATTTTAACATATCCACACAGAGGACTGTTTTTCTTCTAGCATCTAAACCCACTTTTCCTTTAACTGTTGGGCAAATATCAAGACTACGAAAAAGAAAAAAGTTACCTCATTGGATACATCTACAACCAAGTTATCGTCACTCTTGTCCCCATCACTGTCCTATTAAAAATAAATAGTGTTCATTTCAATTAGTACAATAAGAGCCCAGAGAGAAAGATTATGCATCTATTCAGACATTTTTTGTTTTTTCCTAAATAAAAAATAACCAGCCTTTCATTAATTTATTAGCAATAGGGAGAACCACGAAAACAGAACACAATGCCTTATTTCTGCTTCAAAAATAAATCCCAAATAAAGTAGTACTAATTGAAAGATGATGATCTCACCATCAGTTCAAGTTGCAGATGGTCCAAAACTCCTCATTACCATCATAAACAGTGTTACCACTGCTCATAAAAGAGAAAGGCACTCTGTTCATACACTCATGTGTTAATCTTAGAGAAATTACTGCTTGTGCATTCCTAAAAAAGTCTCAGAAAAGGGGAGCTTTTTGGCATGTTTGATGGATCATCCTTCTCCAAGTGATAGGAGCATTTTTCCCCCTTTTCCAGAAAGGTAAGTTTTGAAATGGAAAGTCCTGGGAAAGAAAAAGCTTCAGAAATGCTAAGGCATTTCAACACTTCTGCCTAAGAAAACCAAAATACTTGGACATTCCTAAATAGAAATGTTCTACTGCAGCATTTTGACTGTTTCATTTAGATCTGTGTTCATCTGAGCTGCTCCAGTGCCACATGATTGCTGTTACTCAAGTACCTCCTATCTCCAATATAGCCTAGAATGCCCCAGTAGACACATTCTGTGATACACAGTGGTCTAGTGATACCCAGAGTGCAATAGGGTGGTTCAATCAGAAGGTGAATCTTGACTCAAAACCAAAGAAAGAAAGAAGTCAAGTGATGTCAAAGCTTTAAATTTTTGTGGAGGCAAGTTTGACATTTCTAATAAAAGTACTTCTAGTAAAAAAGTTTCTAGGCAAACAAATCAGACATACAAGATTGCTCAACTGTCCCCCATCTCTTCCTTTCAAAAGAACCCCAAACCAACAGGTAAATTCAACCCTACCCTTCTGCTTTAACAGAATCCTGCTCCAAGAAATACCACAAACATATTAGAGATCCCAGAGTGCCACTGGAGACAGAATTACTGCTCTATTTGCTACCCAGGCACCTATCCAACTAAGAGATGCAGAAAGCTTTAGCTCCAACTATCCAACACCTCTTGAGAAGTATGAAGCACTCAGAGTGCTAGAATAGGTAAGAACACATTTGAGAGTGTGGGAGAACAGTAGATGGGACAGTTGTTCACCAAAAATATCATTCTGAAGGAGGGCAAAATTAGCTACCAAGCAATGTTTAAGTGAATTCCACTGACTTCATCATCTTGATAAACAGAAATTTACTGGGATAATCAAAGGCATATCTTAAAAATGCTATTAATATCAGAAAATTCTCCTAACTAATAAACCCATACATTGAAACTACACAGATCCTAACATAAAAATTAGTCGGAAGTCAAAAAGAGGAAAAAAAATTAATTTTGCATCTTTTTCCAAAAGCAACAATTCCTACAACTCATTTATGTCCCCTTTGACATTGTCCTTACAAGGGTTTCATATAAAATGAGCTCAAAATCAGCAGCTTTTTATTTGCAAAATTAGGGAACCCTAAAAAAAAAAAATAAAAACATCTTCAAGATTAGAATCTCGAACTTTCAAATTGTTCAATTCTTTATTTTGAAGCTGACTTCATTCGTAAAATCCATTTCAAACAAGCAGCAGGCAGAAACACATTTAAAATATGGATAAAAAAAACCTACTTCTACAGTGCAGTAATATCCTCTCCCTCTCCTTTCAGTGGAAATACATGAAGAACAAGCAAGTCAAGCTTTTTCTTCCTTTTGTTTTTATATCAAATATAGCTTAAGAACAGTTAATCTTCAAATATTTAAAATGAAAAATGCCAATAGAATATCAAACCCTCAAAGTTGAGGGAGTAAAATGGGGAAGTTTGCCAAACCCATCAAAACAGTGTTATTAGAAAGTGGTGCAAATACAACTTGCAAGATTGTAACAGCACTAACATACCCAATAGCTGCTCAAAGATATTCTCCAAACGGAGAGAAATTACCAAATACTGAAGAAATAAAGTTTATAATTTTCTCTTGGGTTTCACTGACCAAGAAGTAGTTATCTGGATCAAAAAACCAGAAAAATTGCCACATTATTGCTATGTCAAAGTACAGTATGTTCTGTTAGATTTAAGTTCTACTTTTCAGAACTCTCTCACACCAGTCCTAGTCTCTTAAACCTGTTCAATTATCATCCTGTGATTTGGCTCAACTTTAGACTTGAAATTGAAAGCCTATGTGACCCTTCTGATGCTCACGTATCTCACACTGTTGTACTGAAGTGTCTCTTTGAAACCAAGCAACGAGCAAGCTCGTCAAAAATACAGAACACAAAACTGTGAACTTTTAATTTCAATTTGCTTTCTGCCGAAACTACCATATCAGCCAAAAGCAAACTTTAGTAACTTGGTAGAGCCTCATAACATATGCAATTTGCAATGGTAATTATTACTCAATGTGGTAATAGCTAGTTACCAGAAAAATTTACTAAAACCTCCTCAAATGCAAAATCCTCCATTTCAAACAAACCTTCAGGTTTTAGAGCAGTTCAAAAAGGAACTCAAACTCTAAGACAAGTTTCAAAACACTTGTGAATCCCAAACAACTACTCCTGGCTCAGTTTTCCCTGTTGAGGAGTATCACTTAACAATATCCCAAACTACTGAGTCTACTTTTCCCACAACACAAATAATATCTCTCTGGCACATATATTCATGTACTGTACTACTACTGCCATAAGAAACACATTTCCACACTTCCTTGTTCTTCACAGCTCTTTTACAAGCACAGTATATGCAAATAAATTAATCATTTCTTTGACACAGATTTGCTTACATAGTGGCTGGAATCCTTATCATCCACCTTTCTCTTTTTGATGTCATTGGCATATTCAGGCCCATTCCTGCGTTTATCTGTGCTTCGTAGACTGTCAGGGACCAACAGAGAGTTACTCTGTAAAGACAAAAAACAAGATCAATTAAAAATTCCTTTCAAGATTCCTTCACATATGCTTAAAAACTCAAACTGAACGTGATAGATGCTTTAGAAATGTGATACCCACTTAAGTGTTTCATTCAATTTAATTCAAATCAAAGTCCTCCAGGCAAACATACAGACCTTCACACATTTTAAGAAGGTTGGATTTTCATTGCTCAACTTATCAAAAGTTTAGTTCACTTGTCACTCATTACCTAGTTAACTAATTAATTCAACTGAATTTACTGTTTTGGAGAAGTGGGCTTGCTGTTTATTCATGAGCAAGTAACAATGACTTTATAATTTTTTAATATTCAAATTCCATTTAATAAAGTATATTACTAAATATAATCTGACTGACTCACTTCTAGACCACCATAAATTAATGAGGCTTTGGTATTTCTACACCTGCAGGTACAGACAATAAATGGCAGCTTGGCTTTTACGCTTAAAATAACAAATATTTGCTGAATAAGGTTATGCAGTAATCAATTATTAGCCATGGTGAACTCCAATTGGATTCCTTCAACAAATGTATTCCAAACAAAGATCAAATATTCTTACTTCCAGCATAACATTCACTACTAGTGTGAAATTAAGGCTAAAGTGTTGTTTAATCAGACTTGATCTGAAAATCTGAGGCCAACACACACACAAAAGACAAAGGAAAGGACTAATCTTTTCCTCAAACTACATGGATTGCTTTCTTTCATGCTAAGTTTGCTAAGTACAAACTGTTGACCCAAAGAGCATTTCAGACATTTTTCAGTCACATGACAATTTGACATGCCTTGGATTCCCATCTCCATCTCTGTTCCAGCTAAAGCATTAAAACGTGTTACAATGAGTTCTTTTAAGTGCAGGATTAGCATATGCAAGAGGGCAATTTGTTCACTGATGTGTTAATGCTGCGAACAATACTGAATGAGTTGAGAAAAAAATCTCCTTTCACAAAGACCTGGTAAGCCTAGATCCTAAAAGCCAAGTACATGCTTAGATAAATAAAGATATGCTCACATAAATATATAAGTAAATAAGCATTTACACACACACACACACACACACACACACACACATAACTCTCTCAAGAGAAAAGCCTCATACTGATATATACTTCGGTATAGTATATCCTGATGCACTATATATCGATACATAGATAAGCCCTCAAAGGAAATATTAAGATCTACTCAAGAGCCAGAGATATTTACCCCTTAATATAGCATAAACATATACTAACTGCCAGTGAACTGTGCATGAATAGCTTCCCCTTTAAAACCTGAAGACACCAGGGTAGTTTCGTGCAGACACAAATGTTTAGCCCCAAGGAGAAGGAAATTGAAACAGGGTACATAAGGCAATCTGAATCCTCTTTTTCTCCTAATTCAGACGCTGAACTTTAAAGCCAACTCTAAGCTCTTTTATTCATGACCATTCAACCTAAACAAATGCCAAAGGGCTTACATAAAGCATATAGGAGAGTCTATTGAAATTCAGTATCAAGAAGCTCAAAATAATGTCTTTACAAATTGTTTTGCAGCTAAAAGGTGGGCTTGTTTGATCATTGCACTAATTGCCTTGACAAATACACTTGGAATTTAACCCCTTATCTCCTCCCAGGTGCACACAAACTCAGGGATTCACTACTTTGAAAAACTTAAAAACCCATTTTCAATATTACAATATTGAATCCATCATGTTTATAGCAGTAGAAACACCTTAAGAAGCAATCTGTCCATTCACCCTTGACTAAAGATGTTTTTTCTCTTTAAGGAGAAAAGTCTGTTACTTAAGGATGCTTTCCCTAACAAAAATAATTGAAAATACCTATTTTACTACTGAGGATTTTAGAATAAATGATCAAGAGAAATGCTTTAATTTGCCAAAATAAGGTATGAATAGCAGAAAGGTAGTAAAGGGACAGCAGCTGGGAAAAATTTAGCTGCCTATTTGGGAGTTATGGCTTGCAAATTTTGACAACCAATATGTGTAACTACAATGACTAATTTTTTTTCTGTTTTATTGTAAAGTCTACCTAGACAATACTGACAATATTTTGTACAGTTCATCTTGTAGAATTTCAAAATTGTGTAACGTACCTAGGAACTCTCACCTCCCACTGTGTCCTAAATGCAAAGATTATTAGATTTGGTTTTTCTTCAAAAGACTGATGGCGTCTCACATGAACATGCAATTATATCACAAGCCTATTTAGCAAAACATATCCCCTATGGTCATATTTACACTGCCTTTCTATAACTTACTACATTAATTTAAAGCACTGTTCTCTGTAATAAGAGCATCCATGTTAGAAGCTGTTGTAGAGCAGCTTCTTTCACAATAGCTATACCTGAAATTGCAAATATGGTTGTGCTGTTGTTCTGACAAAATTTACCACTAAAATCAAAAATTAAAAAGTTCTTGTTTTGTTTCCCATAGGAATTCAAGGAAGTTCTAACAATTGTGACTAAAATCAGGTAAAGTATAACACTGGATGAAAAAATAGCTTGCTACTGTAACCTATTACCATTATTCAAATCACCAACTACGCAACATTTCATTCAACAATGTAAAAATATGAATCTTTTTAATTAGTGCATATGGTAGATCCAGAACGCTGAGGAAAGGAAGTGAATGAAAATACAAATAAGAACTGAGAAAGAGATGATCATACAAACCTTGGGCTATTGATATCTCTTACGCGTGTAACAATATGGTTCAGGGAACAGTATACTAAAAGCCACATTTCTTCATTTCAGCTCTGGCAGAGATTATATTTGCTGTATGTCCACTATAAAACATAGAGCCAGCCAGAAGACAGCAGCAACGGCTTCACAATATTAGAGTCTCCTTATCTTCTCTTTAAAAAATAATAATCTGTTAAGTTCTTCTATCAGGTCTACTAACAACTAACTTTGATTTTTAAAAGTAGGAGAAAAATTTTTATTTTGGCTATAAAGAGCTTTTTTGAATACCACTACAGAAATTTTCAGCTGGAATTGACCTTCAGTAAAAATCAGTTCATACAAAGAGGGCAAAAAAATACATACACAGGTAATTTCCTAAAGAGAAACTGCATGACACCAGTTTCTGTCTTGTCTTAATTTCAACCGAGTAGATGCATAACTGAGAACAATCCTTGCTTTCATACTAGAAATTTGATTTATTAGGGATTATTGATGCAATATCTGCAAATCGTAAACCTCAGATCAGAACAAGTGGTCAAAACAGTTTTAAGTGTTTTCCTTTTCATGTGTATAATTCACTTTATACACATGAAGCCCTCCTTTTCAAGTAAGTCCTGAAAGAAGAAAAAAAGTCTAATGTAGCACGGCTTTCTGTCAGTTACCAGACTGCATAAGGGACACATATAACAGGGAACTTGAGATTCTAAAACAACTCTGCTGCCAGCAAAAGTTAAACACTAAACCACCAGCAGGCAAATGTGAAGCAAAAACCTAGCCATGATGCACAGAGAGAAGGCAGGTTTCCTATCAGCAATATAATGCACATTATTCAGAATGCACTTCTTTGACTGCCACACGCTGTTCCCCATTGGAACCACTTCCAAACCACAAGTCTATGTGCCAGAGGTACAGGCTGAGAGCCCATAGTAACTCATTTAGCCCCAGTTATAATACAGCACAGATAATTCACTAGTACATACAGAACTGACAATTTACTTTATGCTGATCATTACAGACATTAAATAACAGTATTTGCATTACATTTCTGCACATGGTTCAACTGCATCTGGTCCCAATTACAATCTTCTCTTGTGCTGGCTCAACTCTCATAATCCTTTCCCCCAAAGACAATGCACAGACACAGGCTTGCTCTGTGCTTGGTCATTCCATGACCCACTGCACATCCAAGTAGAAGGCAGCCACCTGCCATCACAGCCAGTTACTCAGGTGACAATTTGGGCTTGCCCACATTGCTGAGAAAAGCCTCTGCATTTATTTAACCATTGCAATGGATCTCTGCTGCTGCCACCCACAGAAGTGCTATCTACAGATATGTATATATAGACAGTAACAGGTAAAATCCCGTGCTGCGTAGGGAAAACAGGACCAAATCTAACACCTACACCCAAAATGTCAGTTGCTTATTGCCAGGACTCACTGATAAGAATAGAGTAGATGGTGGAAGATGGACTTAACTGGTCCCCAGCAAGGCACAAGAAGATTATGCTCAAAGTTATTCTACTACAGAATCATTTACTTTGACTTGTTGAATATGCTTATAGCAAACACACATGTCAACAACCCAAAAGTTGACTTATAAAGTTAGGATGTTTTGTTGTAAATTAGTGGTGATGGAAAGCTACTGACTTCACCTTCTTTTTGACGATCATTTTATGTCATATTTAGACTAGTATGTTCATATTAGGAACAATGAATTTTAGAAGCCTGAATGGATTTGAGTCACTCTTCACATTGATTTTACAATCGGAAGATGTTAACAGGGAGTAAGACTTCTGTTGATTTCATTATTTTCTAGTTAATGTTTGTTAGAATCAGGGCATCCAAAAAATTTATACCGGATACCCCCAAATCCCTAGGTCCTTTGTCATGACACTCATGCTGCTTTCAATCAGCTACAGACTAAACTGCAACAGAGCAACCCATAGCTCTTATATAGGATCAACCTCTGTTGAAGTTAATCTGTGGTTTGGATCTATACTTTCTTCACAAAGGCCAAGAAGCATATTTGTGCTACGCTATGAGTAACCTACATTTCCATATAGCAACTTTTATGATTCCCCCCCCCCCCCATTTAAAAGAAATAAAACACAAAGCAGCTTGCACATAATATCATCCAAAAAGTAGTATTCAATTTTTTATGGCCCTGTTCTCCAGGACTCAGAGAGGAAGAACAGGACAGAGAGCTTAGTGCACAGAATATTTTTCTACTCTAAGAAAAGAGTGTTTGCTTTACAAAACAATAGCAACAATTCTCAACAGTGAAGGAAAAGAACATCTTGAAAAATTTATGAATACTTCCTAAGTCTTAGAAAACAAGCTCAAAGTTTTTGAAAAGATAAGCAGAAACTTCATATAAATCCCAAGCACACAATGAGATAAGATTTCACTGTCTACAAGTTATTACTGATACAACTGATTGTATCAGAATATTTGCATTTCTGTGCTGTCCAAAAGGATACTAACCAGTGGGAAGACAAGGGATAAATGAACATCTATGCTGAGTTTGGAAAATATTGCCAGTATGTTCCCTAAAGAAAAAAACGTGGACATCAAAATTCTTTTGTTTTGATGTCTCTCAAAACTTCAAGCTTCAGTTGCAAAAATTGCTTACTTTGCCTGGCTTCGTTAACTGCAGCCAGACAAGAAGACTTAAAAAAATAAACCCAAATCTAATTTAAAAATGAATATGTTCAAATATGCCACAATATGCTTCAACTCAGTTATGTCACAAAAACTCAAATTAAAAACAAGTAGACGTGCTAAATTGCAATTTTTCAAACTTGTGCATTTAAAGCTGTCAGCTTCTACTGCTAAAACATCACATTAGACATATCTGATAGAAATCATACTGTAAAACTGCACAGTAATACCAAATATCATGGTAAATTTAGGTAACTTACAAACAGCATGGGTTTTGGTGTCTTGGATGATGAAAGTATGCCTTTGTCAGGATTTCTGGCAGCACCATTACTCTTACAATGTTACTCTGAAAATCAAATGGGTTTTATCTTGATGACCCAGATGTTATAAAGTGATTTGAAACATAAAAGCCTACTGCTAGCTGGAACCACACATAATAACCAAAAAGACCTGCTGGTATGCCTTGTGTACTTGAGCCCAATTTCATATCATCGTTAAAAATATATTTCAAAAAGAAATCCATTAAAAATACAAGAGAATTAGAGAAGTTTGAAGATCAAATAATTCCCAGCTCATCATTTTAGCCAGACTTGAACTTAACCATCTTTTATATTATGATTCTTTCATTGAAGATATTTAAGCCAAGCCATTGTTAAGCCAAGATTTTAATGTAATATTGTATTTAAACAATTTTAAGTTCAAGTTCACCTGTATTCAGCTATTAAGATTTAATTTAGTTACGAAGTATTATCCTCCACTGAGACAAAAAAGAAACTAGGATGAACTCAATATATCAACATGGCAAAATTCCTGTATGAAATAAAGTCTCGGATTGTTTAAAGGTTACTTAGTGGTAAACCCAGCATAAAACCCACCTACTTCAGATAATAACCAAGCAATCATGAGTTACACATATGGAGACAGAAGTAACTACAGTGAAAAATTTACATAGTTTAATTAAATAAAATTTACATCTATAGTCAATTAAGCAACTCTCCTACAAACAAAAGCCAGATTAAATTTTTGACAGTTTTCCTTCCACATGCAAGAACTATTCTCAGCTATAAGATGAATTCAGAGTCCAAATTTCACAACACTGAAACATCTGATTTTAAACTCAAAAAGCAAATTACATGATGGACATGACAGGGAACAGGGTAAACACAGGAAATGTAACAACCAAATAAAAACACAAAGCCATCACTACCACATGTGCATATGTATGCACAGACACACACTGCAACATCCTTAGCTCCTAACAATAGTTAATGAGATTCCTGCAGTCAACTAACCTGATTCAAAGAAGTATGCCCCACACAGAGGAATATGTCCTTAATAAGTCTCAGACTTCATGAAAACCCAGTTAAAATTATTTCTGGGGTTATACTGTCTTTAATAACATCAAGTAAGCTGAAATGAATGCTTCTTGCTTAGTAATCTAAAACCAAAAGACTGCCACAAAGGATATGCAGATAGTTTCCAGTAAATAACTGTCAAGCAAGCCTAGTATATATATTAAAAAAGCAGCGATAAAAATCAGCCTAACACTGGCAGATAACTTTTCCTCTTCTTGTCTTTTCTAATTTAGAAAAGGGACAAAACAGAGTCCAAATTCATCTATGACATAAACAAGCAGAATTAGCTTTGTAACTTCAAATGACATGGAAGTTGCACATGCTCAGGTTCAACAGACTAGTACAGCAATAACACTTAAAGCAAAACAGTACGAAAAGCTGTAACAAAATAGTTCTTTAGAGAGGGTTTTTCATATAACACTGTCTTAGACCAATTCTATTACAGGGAAAAAAGTATTGCTACAGAAGTTATTCCTGAAGCACAAAAAAAGCAGTAAAGACATTAGTATGGCTTAAACTGATGCAGTAAAAGAAACTCCTAGGGCCAAACACCATGACATATTTAAAATCCTCACATTTAAATTTCTCACCTTTTCTGGAACTCTAATTCCTTGAAGTCCTAGAGGAAATATCTTAACTCTGACTAATGTTATATTTGCAATTTTTGATTTGCATCTTTCCCCTCCCCTGCCACCTGCCCATAAACAAACTAAAGTTCAAGCTTGCCTAAAATCATTCTGCTCAAAAATAAAACTCATCCATATGGCCCATCTAACAAATGACTTGGTGTTCTGCACAAACCAAGAGAGATCTTAACAGAAAACACATACATCTAGTATCATGAAAATTACTAAAAGGAAAACAAAACAGACAAACAGTGCAACATCTGATTATTACATTCCTAGATGTGGAAACATTAGCATGAATGTTGGTACTTACTGTTCCTGGCTCTCTGTCTGCTCCCGCAGTAACCAAGAAATGGACAGACATGCCCGTTCAGACACAGAGGCAAGAACAGAAATAAAAAGGGGGAAAAAAATTAGAACACAAGCCGCAAACAGTTTTAAAATGGCTTTTATTTATAAGTCATTGCACATTCCTAATACAGTGATTTCCTGAAAATTACAGTATTTTGTAAACATGAATTACAGTTTAACCATACACAAAGCCTAGTTTTATTTCATGACAGAATAAGTTATTTTCTTTTCAAAAATTAGTCAAGTGCAATTTTGCCCAATATTTAACTGAATACTAGAATTTAAGCCTATGAAACTAAAGTAACAGATGCAATTATCTAAGTATTTAGTTTGAATACATTCACTTCAAAATTTAACTTCTTGTTCCCCCTACCTTCCCACCCACACATTTGACAATATTATTTTCCTTGAAAAAATTACCCATTATGCAGTTTAACAGTTTTTCACAATATGGTGCAGGCCACTGCTATTACAACTAAGCATTTACCAGGATGTCAAAATGCCCTGCAAAGTACAGAGCAGGTGACCCCTAGTGATCCCCTTTTAAAATACTGAAAAATTCCAAGCTGAATTTTGCTTCAGTGGTATATATGCAGACATTTTAAAGTTTGCCAACAGTTTTTTCTCATTCTATATAACTTGAATTCTTTAGAGATGCTCACAATTTGCAGCAATGTGCAAATCTGACAATGTCCTAATCAGGCCTGCCATGCCTCTCACCTCTGTGGTGGTCTGCATCATGATGCTTCTTGTCATCTTTTATTGCCAAGTGAGACTGCCCACCCAAAGCACTAGAAAGGGCAAGAAGGCCAGCACTGCTTCCAAGTGGAGGGATTCCTGGAGGCTGAAGTCCGGATGGATGCGGCGTTAGAGGCACTGGAGGTCCGTGGCCATGGGAGAGATGCTGAGCCTGCAACTGCTGCTGCTGTTCCCAGTGGTATCATCATCCCCAGAAGAACAACGTATAGCACATAGTTTGGGAAGGATAAGGCAGAAGTTTGGTTAATTATTGAGAATCAATAATGGATTTTGATATTTATTTAGCCTCTTCCCTCTGTCCCACCACATTATATATACTGCAATACATCATGCTGTCTGTGGACAACTCTGTTCACGTCCCATTACCCAAAAAGGCTAGCAGGGTACATATTTAGCAGCCTGAGGAATAAGTTCAACTACTGTGGGTTGTTTTGGGCAGCTACTGCCTGCGACACTGTCACTGGTGACAAAGAGCAGCAGCAGAAGGCCCAAATATTTTTCCCTTTCAATAGAAAGGCATATCACTGCTCTGGAAAATAATGAAGAAAGTTTCGCTGGCAACAGTGATTCAAACTCACACCCTTCTCTTCCTGCAATTTGGAAACAGCAAGTATGTTTCTGTTTTGAATATTAAAAAGTGTAAAAGATACTGCTTAATTTCATATTTAGTGAAGTCAAATTTGCATTTTATTCTAGCCAAGGTTTTTGGAGGAAAGTGTGGGGGGGAATTATTCATGACCTAACATTGTGTTTAGGAACCAGACTTGAGCTCAAAATCCAGGTATTCCAGAGAGCATCAATGAAGTCATGGAATTCTCAACAAGAAATACGGTATTAATGAATTAAAATACCTCCATCTGTTTCAAAAGCACCTCGCAAGATCAATATCATAATGAAAGGACATACAATCCTATAACCAATCTGACAAAATAACCTGTAAGCAATTTTAGAAACAGAGTTCTTATAATAGAATGTCTTCCACATAATTCAAATATTAATATATTTTCCAGTTAAAACTGTTACAGTTTTATTAATGTTTTCCAAGTTCAGCTATCATTTATTTTGTCCAAAATGCTCAGCACAATTTTTTTTAGAAAATGAAGCTTCAAAACCATCCTTAGCTTAGTCACAGCTCTCGTTTACTCTGCTACAGGTAAACAGATTTTCTGCCTCTTTCCTGTTTTCTTGTGTCTCGGCATATGAACAGAAGACAGGACAAACCTCTACAATTTGGCCACTCTCCACTATCCCTCTGCTGAAGGCAAACACCAGGAAAAAGCTAGATCCCACACAATTCATGGGATCAAAAAGAAGACAGATAAACACATGTTTCAACAGGATGAACTCAGACAGACATCAAGTTTGACCAGGTAAATGTGAGTGATCCTGTAAGAGCCGGTAAAATTGTTACAGTACTGCTGACAGCTACCGACAGCACACCTAGACTACAGTTCACAATATTTCACAAGTTACCACAAAAAACCTCAACTCAAAATAACATTGAAATATTTTATCTGCTTCTATATGTCTGAAGACTCTTTAAGACCAACTGTCAACAACACCTGCACATCTACTGGCATATGAATGAACTTATTTATTACTATTTAGATAACTACTGCACTCCTACACTTTTATTTCTCACAACCGCATCCCAAGACGTGCCTTGGGCTGCTTGTAGAATTATGAAGACACAGGGGCTGACATTCAAGAACTATGGACTGGACCTGCTTATCTTTCACTCTTCTGCTGTCCCAACTGTCATGCAGCCATCATTTACTTATTTTGATATATAAGACAGATCTTAAAATTTACCACAATCTGTTTAGTCAATTTTATAAAGCCACATGTTTAGCAAATCTCTCTCACACATCACGTATCAGAAATTTATTTTCAAGTGCTGCATAAAAATCCTTGCTATTCTTCACTGCAATACAAACATTTGACCACCACTCAATAGCTTTTTAGTATGTTTTAAAAAAAAGGTAAAAGAGAGGTAGTTCTTATTCTTCTATTTTAATGTGTTTACAAGAACCCAAAAATAACATTTTGAAGGAATTTTTGAGAATTATATTTGTTTTAAGCAATTAACGCAGTAGACCTTCAACAATATCAAGCAGCTATTGCTAATGAAGTTTCATTTAACTGAAGAGCCATCAGTAAAAAGCACTGTAAAGTCTGACAGGACTGCAGGGGTTTGGGTTTTTTCATTTTGTTTTTCTGATCCAGCATCTAAAGAACAAGAAGATATCCCTCTTCTCACAGACTTATCAAGACTTCAGTAGTTTCTAGCACATTTCCTCAGTAACCTGATAACCTGGTGTTTTGGTAGGCTCTCTTAGAGATGGGTATATCTTACTCATTCCCTTTCCCATTGTCCTCTTCAACCAGGTCAGTCATCCGCACTTAGCTATAAGACAACATGAATCAGCAGTGCTGTGCAGCATTGATGGCACTGGTCTTACTTGTCCCCAGCTGCACTAACACCCTGAATTACCAAGTTGTAGCGCACCAATTGCCTGAGAATAAAAAGTGATTTATTTCTTCAGAATTGGTTTTGTGGAGAAAAGCCTCTTCCCTTCTCCAACAGTGAGCTCAAATTAGCTTCTCTTGCTAGTGTGAGCACGGGAAGGTTGAAACAGAGAAAAGAAGTTAAATTACTTCCATTCTTGTTTCTACTGTTTAAGAAATGTATGAAGATTCCTCTTAGCTAAGCATCTCTTACTTGGTTTAATTAGCAAACAAGTCACTCCACTTGATTTCAAGAAGCATAGGTTAACAGTTTAAGAAATACTTACAGGCACATTACCTATAATTTCCCTGGCTCTGCTTAGTAGCCTACACACCCCACATTTTGAAAGTCCAAAAAATGAGAAACAGATTAATCCCCTGTAAGACGATTTTAAGCTGAAAGCACATACTGAAGAGGGGTGTCCTGTGTTTTCTGACAGTACTGCACAGGGACAGTGGGGAGCACTGTCCAAAGTAAGGCAGAACAGAGTATGAGAGCTGCAAGTGCATTGCAAAGCTGCTCTGCACACCTTTGTAGCTTTGCAAATGGTTACTTAGGGACATGGTACACAAAGATCCTTAAATATGGCACTAAATTAAACCGACTTAAGACTGAAATTCTGATCATGGTCTTTTAAGCCACCAAAGCTATATTAGGACTTTATGTTTATTATCTGAGGTGCTGTTTAAGACTTTAGTATATTGATTTGCTGCTTATATATTATCTATTCATAACAGGTTTAAAGTTCTCCCTAACACATAAAGATGATCCTTTCCAGAAGTTCATACTCTTTTTATTTAGAAAACTTGAATTGTTAAAAGTATATTGTATTCTCTTTCTAGAAGGAGTAAAAGGAATATGTGCCGCACACAAAGGAAGAAACTAAAGACCAGGGAGATGGCTAACAGCAGCATTCACCAGATATATTTAGTAACTAAACATTTGCTATCGTAGATCCTAGAAACAATTATGTTATGCGTATATTCACTTTCCCATCACTTCAAAGACACTAATGCCTGCTCTGTAACCTTTAAAGAGCTAAGCAGCAGTGAGATATAAAACGGAGTAAGTTGGCAGCAGTATCATGGTCTACTAGGCATGTTCATTATCAGTTAATTAAAAACTAACATCTGCCATAAGAAATGTGCTCAAAAAAGGATGAGTAGCAGGTCTGTCTTACTACCAATTATTATCATTACTTGCAGAGCAAGGGCTGTGTCCACTTTCAGAGGGAAGTGGGAAGAGTGCAATGATGCATACTTAAGTGACTGCACTGAGATAATTAGCCACAGCAGTGATTTTAAAAACATCAGGAGTTCACCCATCATATTGCTGCAAAGCCAGAAGTTCTTCATATTTGCAAAGGGAGAAAAGGAATTACAAACTCATATTACTATACTGTCTAGATGTAGGTTTTATTGCCTCAGAATTTTTTCCTAGTATCCCCATAACCAAACCATAAAGTCCCAAAAATCAACATCTAAAAACCACAGCATTTGCTTCTCTGAGCAAGCACCTCTTAACAATTTCAAAGATAGCACGGCTTTTCACTTCTAACATTCTAGGTAAAGTCCAGTTATAAAGAGATCTTTAATCAGGACTTAAAATTTGGAATTATGTTTTCAATCTCTGGCAAAGACTTGCAGAGATAAAGAGTTAGTATGTCTTTATGAAACACAGTTCCTATAATTAAACAATGACAGGTCTTCTTTAGGCTCCTTGCTTATCCAGATAGAGCAGTAGTTCCTACAATCCCACTCCCGACATTAGACTAGCTCTGTTGAGGTCACAAATACCTACTTTTACTTAAACATCTTTTTTACTTAAAAAGATGTTTTTGAATTACTATGATTAAACAGTTAGAGCATTGTTCTGTTCTTGAACAGATGTGTGATGTACTATTCAGTATCTGTTGAAAAGCACTGAATCAAAAATTCAGTGCATTATGCATAGTCCCAAACTACAACAGCTGTCTTCTTTTGCATCCTTTTAAATAAACACCTGAGAGAAGAAAAAGTTTCCAAAATCTTATCAGTACTAGCACCAGTAATACAATCAACAGATTTCCCCAAGCTCCATATATGTGTTCTGAAAAAATATCTGGCAAGTACAGAAGCCATTCAGAGACCTAAAATGTAAAAGATGCTATTTCATGTCACCTTCTGTAAAACTGAAGAAATGTGATTTCATGAATCTCAAGCAGGCGGAAAGACATGAGAGCAAAACATGTATTACTGTGTTCAGTTTCATTGCCATATTCTCTTCCTTCCCAAAGGGAAATCTTCAGGATTTTAATTTGCCCGCTTAAATAGCAGAAGTAAGTGAGAGCCTGCATCAAATATCTATAGCCAACAAATATGAGGGCCACTCTCTGAGCACACACAGGTAGTTGATCAAGGAATAACCTTTTCCCTCACTATTTAGAAATATTCTTAAAACTAACATTGCAAACATAACCTTCCAAAAAAGGAAATAACACTATGCTTCTGTTTCATCTAGTTTTCTGTGCCATCCTAGAAAAACAAAAACCCTGCACACACAAACCACACTATCAACAGTCAAATATGGTAAGAGGAAACTCATTAAACAGTCTAAGCCATTAATTAATACTTGCATTTAAATTTCTGTACATACTTTCCAAAGAGTATTTCAGCTAC